GAGAGAGAGAGAGAGAGAGAGAGAGAGAGAGAGAGAGAGAGAGAGAGAGTAGATAACAGCTGGATCTTGATTAGGAGGAATAGTTTCTCACTCCTCCTCTCCTCTGTGTGTTTGGCTCATTTTTAATTTTTAGAATAATGCTCTCTCTTTCTTCACCCTAACATCAGATCAGATCAGATCTKAAGGGAAGCAGGAGAGTTTTGAAACTCAGTCCTGTGTGGTGACATGCAGTGATTATCCAGATACAGGCTGCATCTTTTTTTTTTCTTTTTTTAAATTTTTTTATATCAACACGGATGTCCATCTCCAGGCTGAGGATATGTACCAAGGTATAATGACAACCAACCACGGACCCCCTTCTTATGAGGCTGGATTCCTCCACAACGCCTCCGCGGCCTCCTCCCCGGTGTACGTGCCCACCACCCGGGTCGTCACCCCCATGATCCCGGCGCTGCCTTACCTCCAGACGGCCGGCGCGTCGCAGCAAGGCAGCCCGGGGTCCGGCCACTCCGCCTGGGCGCATCCGGGCGCCGAGCCCCCCTACAGCCACTCCCCGGTGTCCACGCGCTTCACCTTCTCCACCAGCCCGCCTCTGTCCTCCGGGGGGGCCACGGCGGCTTCGTACAGCAGCCCGCTCAACATCTCCGCCAACGGGAGGGAGCACTACGGTCCGCGCGGCCTCAGCGGCTCCTACCACAGCCCCTATCCCGCCTACATGAGCCCCAACGTGGGCGGAACGTGGCCTGCGTCCCCCTTCGATAGTCCGGTCCTGCACGGTCTGCAGGCCGGAGCTTCTCCAGGAACTACACGGCACCCAAACATAGGTGAGCAGCAGGAAAATAATCTGAGTTCCAAATTAAATAATTCTCCAAACTAAAGAAAAAAAAGGCTGAATTTATAATATCATTCTTTGCAAAGATGTCAGTAAAATAAAGCGCTCATATCTGTTTTATTCTATTAAAATACTCACAAATTATACTCTGAAATTTGTTAGATTTCTGTTTATT